AACCCAGATCTCCCAGTCTCTTCTGGGAGGGTGGGAACCTAATTTCAATAAGTGGCAATTAAAAAATACGGATATACTATTCACATTGACCATCCTTCTCCTTAATGTCTTCCACTACTTTTCCACTAACTAACCACAGCTCTTGAAAACTCTCTACCTTTTGTTACAGTGAAGTTGATTTTCAGTCTTTCTCTGATTGCAGTAGTCCTGAATGTCAAGTTTTTTGTTCCTTTAACCTGCCTAGTACAGTATTTCTTTGACATTTATATCACACTTGCAAACACCAAGCTAAATACTGTGCACGCTCTATCTACTCTCCACCTCCTCTATCTCCTCTAACCAATCAACGCTTGTCTGGTCAATGTAGCCTCTTGCAAGACTCAAATGTGTCTTCTCTTTCTCATGCCTATTGTCATTGTCTTAGTTCAGACTGTACCATTTCTACCTAGAGGGCTGAAAAAAACGTTTGCAATTTTTTTTAACTTCCAGTTTATCACTCTTAAAAACAATTTTATGGCCTCAGACAAAACAAAATCTCATCTTTTCACTCCTGTTCTCAATATCTCTGAGGACTCCAATGCATGATGTGTAAAGCCAAGAGGCATAAGAATGGTGTGGCAGTTTATACTCTGTCACTTGTTTACATTGGACTATATTTCCTGGAATCCCCATTCACCACATGGTTCTCTGCTAGAGTTGACCAAAAGTTAACGTTGAACAGAATTTGGAAAACAGAAGCAGAACAGTAGCCAGCAAGTGGGGTAACAGGCACTCCTTCCTGAAGGTCATCATATTAGGTATGTGTACATACAGACACAGTAGTACTGTTCTTATTCTTGTCCTTTGTCTTCTCCATTCCATGACAGCTCTCCTTACCAGTTGTCAGCCCTGCTGAACAACAGCAGCTAGCAGTTATTCAGATATGATAACTTTCTAATAGCCCTCTGCACCAGCCTCAATTCATGGTCTTACTCTGGCAGCTGAACATGGCTGTCTTTCCAGAATTCCCTGCAAGTTCAGACATGCCCACACGTGTCAGTGTTTCTGAAATAGTTGCTAACTTTACAATTATTCTCCAAGTTATCTTCTTGATTGTTACCACCCCAGTTGTTTTTCTTTTTTTCTGCAACTTGGTGAGGCCTATTACTAAAATAATCACATTGTTTCTGTTTTTCTAATTGAATCCTGACTGATAAAGTTGGCTCTAGGCCTTTCACAACCTTGTCTCTATTTACTTTTCCAACTTCATACATATTACAATTGTCTTTGTGGTTCTGTTTACACTTCTCTCTCCACCTATAATTGTGAAAATGCTCCTTTTTCTCATATTTGCTTGTTGGAATTCCATACATCTTTCACGGCACCAATTTATACACCACTTTCATGAAGATTTCTAAACGCTCCAGCCATTAACATTGTCTAAATATTGTCCATTTACAGTCTGCATTTGTAACTTGCTTCTGCTTTCATTGCAGTGTATCTAGAAACAGGTAAGACATTGCCTGTTCAATAATTTAATTCCTTAATAATTAAATATTTGAAACAACAGCATTGGTATCTTTTTTGTAAGCAAAGTTTGTTTAATTGTGATTATTCCACTAATATTCAGTACAATACAGGCCTAATACCTAATTTTACATCTCTTTATCATTATATCATGAAGAACACTTTTTATTAGAAATTTATTACAAATTCATTTATTAAATGTGTTACAAATTACAAATAATTTATAAGTTTCTGAATTTAATGATAATTTTTTTTTGAATATAATACTATATATGCACATACTTTGTGGAATACACTGTTTTATATTATTCTGTTATGGTCATTTCTGTCTGTGACTGATCCTCCCTAGTAAAGTATTTTGTACATATATATATTTGAGACAGGGTTTCACTCCCTCATCTAGGCTGGAGTGAAGTGGTGCAATGATGGCTCACTGCAACCTCAACCTCTCGGACTCAAGTGATTCTCTCACCTCAACCTCCCAAGTAGGTGAGACTACAGGCCTGTGCCACCAAGCCCGGCTAATTTTTGTATTTTTTGTCAAGATGGGGTTTTGTCATTTTGCCGAGACTGATTTTCAACTCCTGGGCTCAAGCGATCCTCCCAAGGCTCCTTGGCATCCCAAAGTGCTGGCGTTACAGATGTGAGCTACCATACCCGGTCCTAGAGTATTATATTTGAATCAGACAATTATATTTACTCAAAAAACTTCTCGAATATCTTAAATGTTCACAACATGTACTGATGTATGTGCCTTATATAGCTTATTTCAATCATCGTGCTAAAATTAGATAATTAAGTGTCAGAAGACTGCGAACACACTAAACCTTCAGCTGATTACAAATTTTCAAATATTTTGTTCTGTTTTGCCTGAGGTATCAACTGCTCAGAAATTAAAATTATCCAGCTGTCAGATTCTGAGCTCATCTATGGCTAGCACACACGCATCTTGGTACAAAAGCTTTTATATGGATAATTTTGTTTTCACACTTTACCAGTAAACATTTGTGATGCTTTATTTCCTACTTCATCTTTAGGTAACAGATGTTGTCAACTGATTTTTTTAAAAAACGATTTCACCAGGTGTGATTTTGTGGGTGGGCTGCTCAGATATTGTGTTTTGGCTCAGTGGCTTCATAATTTCTTTCTTTCTTTCTTTTCTTTTCTTTTTTTTTTTTTTTTTTTTTTTTTTTGAGACGGAGTTTTGCTCTTTTTTTCCAGGCTGGAGTGCAATGGGGCGATATCGGCTCACCACTACCTCTGCCTCCCGGGTTCAAGCGATTCTCCTACCTCAGCCTCCCAAGTAGATGGGATTACAGGCATGCAGCACAACGCCCGGCTAATTTTTCGTATTTTTAGTAGAGATGAGGTTTCTCCATGTTGGTCAGGCTGGTCTTGAACTCCCAACCTCAGGTGATCTGCCCGCCTCGGCCTCCCAAAATGCTGGGATTACAGGAGTGAGCTACTATACCCAGCCCATAAATTTTTATTAAATGTGTTTTCACAAAAATCATGCCCTTGATTTTAAATATATTGAATTGAGGCTAAATATATTTATTGATAGTTAAGTAAAAATAGGAATAAAACCAGTTTGGGAATGATAAAAGACAGAGAAGAAGAGGGAAAAAATATTTTGTATTAGTGGTCACCAACCTGTGAACTTTTGATACCTTGAAAGCTATGAGCTTGTTGTAAGTGATCTGTTAAATTCAAGCATTCAAGTATCATGGTAGTTGCGTTTGAATAACATTTCAGTTGCATATATGAGTTTTTCCAAGTATATAAATATTCTGATTGACAATATGCAAATAATTTGAAATATAACTTTGTTACAATATTTTTGTGTAATATGTTTTCTCCACATACAATTGCTGAAAGTAAAATTATCCTTCTATACAAAGCTTACCCATAAAATGTGTTCTTGTTCTCAAATCGGTTAGAAACTACTGCCTTACACAATTAAAGTACATATGGTATGTTTTTCATGGTTTGTCCAACTGGGTAATATCTGCAGATTAAGGGCTCTGAGTAACAGATTATGTGTATTTGTAACTTCTACATACAATATCATACAAACTGCTCCTTAAAATAATTACAAAGAACAATAATGCCACAACACCTTCAACATTTCCAGTTTTACCACTAACAACAGAACCCAATTATTTGAACTTAGAGAGGATGTTAAGGAAATTCAAAATCAAGACAGAAGTTTCAGGTGTGGGAATCAAATGAAAAATAGTGATAAGGCAAAGCATTCAATGGAGTATTTTTAAAGCCTAAATTTTACCCCCCCCAAAAAAAGCTTTGTTTTAGACCTAATACCAAAGTTAAAGTCAAGTTTTACCTATGTATTAAAAAGTTCTAACCAAGTATGATAGAATGTCTGTAATATTTTATCACCTTTCCTTTTTACTCAGAGATTCTGAAACTCTAGACAGCCTATCACAGAGAATTCAATGAGGCTCATTGTGGGTTTTAAATTCCATGTTCTATATAATTTTCAAATACTTCTCAAGGTGATTACAATACACATAGTTGCAATACATTTAATCATAGGTGTTTGACTTTCAACAATCATGTTTCCTAAAATATTGCTTACCTAATTACATTATTTATATTAAAAAAAAAACTGTCAAGTTTTTGGGATATGTGTATGTCTGCATCCTAAACACAGACAGAAAATGCTTAGGCTATTACTGGAACAGGGATCTTGACATCCACTCAGCAAATGACCAGAGCTATATCACAGAAGGTCAGTCAAATTCCTAATGAATGATTCATCTCCTTCCTCCATCTGTTCTGAATTTCCCCTGGCTTTCACTCATTGGAAATCTCTACTCAGTAATTTCTGACCCTTGAGAAAATATAAATTATGGCATTTCTTTCCTGATAGAAATTTTAAAAGTGGTTCGTGAACTATGTTCCACAAGTTCTTCATAGATCATTTATATGTCTGACCCTTCAAATAATCTCAAATGTCTCCCCTTTTATCTTTTTTATATGTTGAGATTCCAGATTTTAAAAAATCACATTTATAAAGGCTTTTAAATTTTCTTTAAATTACTCTATAAATTAAATACTTTCTGATAAATATTCCAGCAACAGATTTTTAAGGAACTTGACAAGCTCAACCTAAAATTCACTTAGAAAAGTGAGTAAAAGTTGTAAGACTTTTTTTTAAGAAAAGCAAAAAGAAAGTAATTGTCTTCCCAAATATTAAAACAAGTTTGAAAATTGTAGTCATTGAAATGCCTTAAATTTGAAGCTGCAATGGGAAAATAGATCAATAAAATGAAAAAGGAATTCAATAATGGAATTTCAGTGCACAATAAATATGGCATCTCAATTAGATGGGAAAATAACAGTTTAAAATTACCTGATGTTGGACCGTCTGATTTTCTATTTAGAAAAAATATAAATAGTATATCCTATATTATGATGTCATAAAAAGAATGCAAATAATAAACACATAAACCATAAATACATAAGAAGAACACCAAAGAAAATTATGTAGTGAGTTATAGCGGAAAATAATTTTTCATAACTTTCTAACAGCAAATAAATAAATGATACACTTGTCTAAATGAACATTTGTAACTTCTATAATATTCAAAACATCATGAATAAAATTCAAACATAAGCAAGCCCATAGACAAATATAACCTAAAGGGAAATATTACAATATGCAGACAATAAATTAATAGCCAAAATTTATATTACAAAATCAACAAATAAAAAATATTCCACAAGGAAATAAAAGACTAGAAAAAAAATGTATACGTGGGGATGATAGACATGTGAAAATGTGTTCAACCTCCCTCCCTATCAATCAATTAAAACATCAGCAGGTATAAATCTTCATCCATTTAATGTATTGAACATACATCTTGGGCACCTTTTCACTTTCCCTGTACCACCTCATTCTTTCTCTCTGGACAATAAATGGTTATTGATAATTCTCAAAGGAAAATTTTTATCTTCCAGCCTCCAGGATCCAAACTAAGCAAATCTTGGTTGAGTCTTTCAGCTTTCAGACTCAGAGAAAATGCTGCACTGAGGTCCCTGAGATTTTGCTTCCAGAGTGCCTGCCAAGGAACAAGCTAACACAAACTGTAAGTTACTGAGAATTAGCTCCTGGAAGGGAGAACCTTAGCAAGTAGAGAAATAGGGGGGGAAAAAAAACTATGGATAAATTTGTTTGTTCTCCCCTCTGGGCACTATCACAAGGTGCAGTTCATGTTTGCAAACCTTCCGAGTGTATCAGCTGAAAGGTATTTATTTATTTATTTAGCGGCTAGTTGTAAAGAGGAGTCAGGCTGCTAATGATTGATGTTGTGTTGCTTTGCCTCTCTTCTCTTCTGTGTTTCCACCCAGCACCTACCTCCCTTTCCCAGGCACTTTTATTATTTATAAAATAAGTTATTTATTCTATAAGTTATTTATAAAATAAGTTAGTTATTCTAACTTCCCGTGGTTTATCCATAACAAATAAAATGTCACCATTTTAATCTCTTATTCAGGCTTTGCTTTTGCAGGACCCAAACTAAGGCAGATAATATCAAGTTTCCCTGAGTGGGTAAGAAAACAATTTTCTGACACTGCTATAAATCTGCTCTTTCTACAAAGTTTTGTTCTTAGATCACCTTTTAGGAACATAAATCTCTAAGCTATTTTTGTCGAGATATATTAAAATTAAAATAATTTATGCTGTAATTCCTCTATTGAATATGTACCCCAGAAAGACAAGTATATGTGTACAAAAGTGGTCATATTTACAAATGCTTGTTTCTGATTGTTCATAACAGATAAAAATGGAAATAATCTAAAAACCCATTTGAAAGAAATCAATTATTATTGATATATATTCTTTATTCCATTTATATGAAGTTTGAAATATGTCAATAGTATAGTGCCAGAAAGCAAATAAGTGGTTGTCAGGGGTAAGAGATGAGAAGTGACCTTGATTGTCAAAAAGCACATAAAAATATGGGGGTTAATGGAAATATTCTCTATCATGTTTGTGTTGGTGTTTCTATTATTATACACACAGCTCATGAAATCATTGAAAATTGGAGGATTTGCGTGTAAATTATATTTTACTAAAGCTGATTGAAAACTGAAGGAGAGAATGGTGATGATGAATATGTAGCATCTTGCTAATTCATGTTGTTGGTTTTAATCTCACTAAGAATAAATGCTCCAACTCTTCTCTATGACATTTAGAATCAATACTAATATTGCTAAGTAGTTGTCTTAGATTGTTCATGCTACTGTAACAAAATACCTTGGACTAGGTAATTTATAAGTAAGAGAAATTAATTTTCTCTATGTTCTGGAAAATAGACAGTCCAATATTAAGGGGCTGGCAAAGTTGATGTCAACAGAACTGTCAGCAGTTCTTGTTCCTTCCTGCTGTGTCCTTATGTGGTGGAAGGCAAGAGGGCAAAATGGCCTAATTAAATCCCTCCAGTTCTTTCTTAAGGTCATTGATCCATTCATGAGGGTAAAGCCCACCTAACTTAATCACTTCACAGAAGGCCCCAGTGCTTTATAGTATCACATTAAGTCTTATATTTCAATCTAAGAATTTTGGAAAAATACATGCATTCAAACCATAGCAGTAGCTTATTCTATTTATTGTGTTGTTCTATTTCTACATCTCAAGGCAAGAAATGTGAAGCCAAATATTTTATTTTCACAAACTTTTCTACAGAGAATAATATCCACTTTTACTGGTTGTTTTATATAGTTGGTAATTAAGAGGAGAATAATAAATGGAAAGTATGAAGGGTAAGTAGCAACAGGGTATCTTTATATTGTAAAGGTGCCTCCTTAGAACTCCACTAAAGGTCTATAAAGTAATCCTTCAAAAAAATACAAATAAAAATTATACAACAACAAAAAACAAAACTGGTAACCAAATGGCTTCATGATTGAGAGGTCAGTTGCAGTTGTCCTCTGACGGCCAGGGGTGATGGTAAGACATGATTTTATAGAATTAGGTTCACTATGCTCAACCAATCTACCTGTATGCCACTTTCCCCATTTTCAAATATCCATTTTATATAGACATACCTAACAGTCAGCAGAATATCCACACTAATCCTTTGATTCCAAGATATGAGTAATTATAGTAGAAAGTAAAATGGAAGAGTTTCCTGATTCCCCTGGCAGGAAATGTGACAGGGTGTGGCTCGCCTGTTCAGTCGCCTGGCTGCTTAAACCCCTTGCAAGAGGTGGAGCACACAGACTGGCAGGTGAAGGAGCCCTGGTGGGCGCATGTTACAGTGTGCCCTTTAGCTTTGCCATTTGAGGATGGCTTGAGTATTAATCAGCTCAATTAACCCTCTGCCTTTCTGCAAGGGCAGAGGGCCAGTGTGACAGCTTTCTGGATCCTGAGCTTCTGTCCAGCATCCAAGAAAAATCGAGTTAATACATGGACTCCAAGGATGAATGCTAGGTTTTATTGAATGATGGAGATGGCTTTCAGCAGGATAGATGGGGAGCTGGAAGCAGGGAGATGGAGTAGGAAGGTGATTCTTCCCTGGAGTTGGAACTTCCAACAGCCGAACCCCTCACCGACTGTCCCCAGCCAAACTCCTCTGGGTGTCCAGACACCCGTCCTTTTCTCTGGTGTCCTGCCCTGCTGCTTTCTGCCACTTTCCACCACTCTCTGCTGTTCTCTGCTGTTCTGTTCCTCTGCTCCTCTGGACGTTCAGCCACTTGTTTGTGTGCCTGCTAAGGTCTCAGGTTTACATAGGCACAGGATGGGGGGCATGCCAGGACAAAAAGCAACTTTTTGGGCACAAAAACAGAAATCCCATTTAGAACCGCAGTCCCCAGGTCTGAGGGTGGGGCCTTTGCCAGGGAACCACCCTCTTCTACCCAGTATTTCCCTGTCTCTTTCCTGTATTAAAAGGACAAACAAAACCCCTGATATTTGCTAGCCAGGATTTCAGCAAAGAAGATGTAGAGGAGAGATGGGCCAATTTCTTGGGATCCACTGGTCCTCCCATATAACTCCGGAAGCTGCCAGCAGACAGTGATGAACTGGCCTCTTAAAGGTGCTTGTTAGATGCCAGCAGCTCAGTGATACCCCATGATGAGTGGGCACAGCTCTTTAGGATGTGGACAGCTCTTAAACTGATGCAGTTACGTAAATTTATGGGTCTGAGAATAAGGAGGTAAAAGTAATAATGAGGATACTTGAATTTTTACTTTTCAGCGTCTAACTTTTGGATAAAAAGTGGGTTCCTTGTCACTGTCTAGTCATTTGCAATAATCTATCTGGTGTTTCTGAGAGACAGAGTGGGCAAGTGAATGGCCATGAAAAGGACAGTCACTCCTGTGTGCTAAAAATTATTCGAGACTTGAGCTACATAAGAGTCATTAAATATAATTTCAATGAAAATTGTACTTTCTGAGTTTAAGGTATTCAGACACTTGATTTAAATGTTTGCTTTGTTTTTTTTTTTGACAAAAAGATTAAGTTAACAAATAAAATGGTTGTAATTTTGTTTCTTGCCCATAATACATATTTTTGTCTTAAAACATTAATATTCAGTTCTGCTTCCTTATTTAATATCAGTAAATATCATGTTATCTCACTTGCAAAAATTACGATCATGATTGTCACACTGGTGCACTACATCAGTAATTAAGAGTTCTGTAAAGAACACCATGACCTCCAAGTACTTCACATTATAATCAGTTTTCAGGACGACTAAACCCCATGAACACCAAGATCCTTTTTATCTTTAAATTTTTAATAAGCATTACACTATTCATTTTCATCTTTCACATTTTCTTGATGCACTTACTATCCGTCCTTCTAACATAATGGCTAAAGGCTGCTGTACATATTTGTGGAGACAATAGCATGTCTAGTAATGCCTATTTAAATAAGTCACTCACTGATTTGTATTTCTAAGTATCAGGAGTCCAGACAATGGGATGTTTTTAAGTAGAAATTTGGGAACTTTTTTTCTTCCTCACATGCTGACAAGATAGTTTTTATTCTATCTGGTATCATTTGTATTTAGATTGGAACTTTTCAAAAGAAGTCTTTTTTGCGTTTTACTGAGAAAGCTATTACAATAGATTGCCTTTCCTATGATGATAAAAAATATATAATTTTCACATTCACTTAGCTTTAAAACAGCTGAATAGATTTTCCTTAATCTTAGAAGAAAATTATCTTGGGGTTGAATAGAAGCATAGAAAGCTTAAACTGAAAAAGAAATTTTAAGAAGTTTATGACCCAGATAAAGTAGAGAATTGTAAAAATAAACATTCTATAATATCATTTACCATCTCTAATATACATCCAAACATAGATGAATTTAATATATCTTTTCGTCCTCTTGTATAACATGTGCCAACCATTTATATCGAATCCTCAAACCTACATAAGCATAAAACTCCATCCAGAAAAATGTATTAAAGCAACATGGAATTAGCCATCAAGTCTAGGAAATGGTTGATGTGACATGGAACTGAAATGTATCAAAGTTATATCTACATACTAGCCTATGACTATGTGTATGTATGGAGATACCAGATCAAATCAGATACCATAGTTCCAGTGTGCTCTCATCAACCTGCCTTATAAGAAACATGATGGTCTTGTTATACTCACTGGGAAGTCAGATTCTGTCAGATAAGTTTGACAGTTTGCGCTCTAGTTCTGTCTATGCTAAGATCACTTTTCGAAGTCACTTCTTTTGCTTTTGTCCCATTCCCATGTTTATCTGTGTATGTATATTGTTTAATTTAGGGGAATATTTTTATTCACTCTAATTCAAGAGCACTGTCCATCACACTATTCATTTCAGCTTAAATCAATGCCAAACTGTATGTAAAAATATAGATTAAAAAAGAGATTTAAATAATTTGTTGTGAGGATGACATATGCTCTGAATCATTTCTCTGCATAAGGCTTTATGTAGTTGCTGGAATGGAGCCCTCAACAAGATACTTCCTAACAGAGGTTGAAACCTAGCTGAGCACTCAGATATTAAACAAATAACTAGCTTGGTCGATTTCACCCCTCACCTCTGCCTATTACTCATGTTTTAACTCTGAGTTTCCTTTCTACAAATTATGAGAAATCTAATCTTCTTTGATTATAGGTTTAACTTCCTTAGGAGTTTAATTCCCAGATATCCCTAAGACTCTAAGTGCTAATCACGGATTCTTCTGAAGAGCAGAGAATGTGGTCCTCATTCTCCACAGCTGATGCCATCAGACTGTGTGGCCACAGGTGTTCCAGTCGTTGCCTCAAACCCACAGAAGTTCCTCAGGGGGATGGACAGGAGAACATCAGAGCATTGTCTAAAATCTTTCATAGTAAGTGTGGCCTAGCATTTTCTGCCAGTTTCAACATAATCCTCTTTCTCAAAAGTCCAAAAATCACAGCTAGAAAAAGCGTTAAGCTCCACATCAAAGAATAGAGAACAGTACATTTCTCAAATAACCCCATGATTACAAAAGTATTTTTTTCACTCTGCTTTTAGGAAAATTATTTCTCTTTCTTGCATTTTTCAGGCAGAATGAAAATGGAGCCGGTGAAAGTAAATTAAATTTTGGGACCCCCGAACTCATGTAGCCAAAGGGAAAAATCAAGCTGGGAACTGGGTCACGCAAATCTGCCTTCTCCATTTGGTTCCTAAGTAAGATGGCTACAAGATGAAAAGCTACATGCCTTCCCCATATTTTGCCTACAGGGAAATTCCTGAGGAGCTGCAAGATCTTTTAAGGTGTTTCTGTTAAAATTTCAACATGCCAATGCAAATTGATAGCTTGTCTTTACAGGTGCAGTTACCCATGGCTCACCAGACACAAATGCATATCTGATTATTCCCTTACTCCATTTTTGCCTGTGTTATCATATGTAAAATGCAGATTCCTTGCATTTTTCCTCTGCCCCATTTGTCTAGGTCATCTTATGGAAAAAAAAAATGCCGATTCACTGAGGCAGACAAAGGCATGAATAACTATTTTTCCCTAACTCCCTGTTACATGCAAATTGTGTACTTCTCAATACCCTGCCTTTTCCCCTTTAAATTTGGAGCCCTCAAAATCATCTTCAGAGAAAGGCATAGACCTGTCTTCTGGGTGTGTGTCTTTAATTTTGGCAAATAAATCTCCTAAAATGATTGAAACTTGCCTTATCATTTTTCTCCATTGACAAGCCTAGTAATACTATTTGATAGATCTTTTAAAATCAGTCTGTAGGCATACGTATTCAAATTTAAAACAACCCTAGTGTTTTTCTTAAAAACAATGAGTAAAGCCTTACAATTGTGAAAATAAAAGTCTATCACTGCGAGCTTCCCAAAATCAATGGAAAGCTGAAATTTACCACAAAATCCAGGATCGGGAAATTATGAAATGACCAAATAATCAAATGCTAGCAGCCTTCCAAATACCGATACTTTGTGTGTGTTAGTATGTGTGTGTAATTTCATGTATGTGTGTATATATGTGTATATATATAATATTATTCACTTTTATAGTAATATATATATTTCATGTACATATCAAAATACACTTAGATATCATTATAATATGTGGTAAAAGAAAAAATGTAGTATATAATATGTGAGTCTGAGGATCTAATTTAGTGTTTCCTGAGAGAATAATATTTAAGTAATAAATCCAGGAAAGACAAAAACATTAATAAGAGTTAACTAGGCAAAAACGAGAGTATTCTATTGAGGAAAACTTAGCATGAAACGTTTGGACAAATATCAGTCTGGTTTATTTCAGATGTCATATATATGTGTGTTCATTTGGGACCCATCATGACTCCCAAAAAACATAATCTCGAATGCCATATTACCAAATGTTGACATCCCAAAAGATTTTTGATGCCCAAAATAAAATTCTGGAAAAAATAATTACAACTCTTTAGAAGATATTTATTTACATTTTTTAAAAGGAGATTTGAGAAACATAGAGAACATGACAGATCACTTCATAGACAACTTTACACAATAAAATAGGCAGTAATAACATACAGATTTTTGTAAGCATAAACATTCAGCTATACTAATGATGGTCTCATAAATCCAACAGGTATGAGCAGACAACTTGTGTATAAATAAGTAGGTCAAAAGGGGAAATGAATAAATGCATATTACTACAGTTGAGATTTTTATGCATCCAGCTTTCTAACGGTTGTCCTCTGAAATATTGTGACAATCTCATCCTTTTTAGGAGATTAATTGAAAATCATAATGGGTCATCATGTCATATGCAGTTGCTCAAAGAGCACAAGTCTTGAGAAATTTTATCTCAAAAATACAGATGTGTAAAAAGGGCATCTTTCCATTTACTGAAGAAGTTGCAACATTTTTATGTACACGAGCAATACTTACACGTAGTCAATATACATAAGTAAACTTTTGTATAACCAAATTAGAAAAAAATGCATAAAATGAATTAGAACTCGCTAAAGTGTCTATACAATTTAGCACTCCAGTATTAAAAATGATGCCAAAGATAAATACATAGTATAGCAAATTGTAAAAAATAATTCTGACAATTTAAAATACTAAAAGAAGGAAAAGAAAAGAAAAAAACTAAAACAGAAAATTTGAAATGAAAAAGTGTGTTGCAGAGATAGATTATGGGCAATTGCTTGAAAATTGTCCAGAAGAGCTGGCTGAATTTTGTAATCATTATATGTTGAAGTCTTGCATCATGACGAATAGCTGCTTATTTTTTGTTTGTTTGTTTTGTTTTTCGTTTGCTTGTTTTTAGTTTAGTTTAGTTTTATCTTTTAGGACATTGCTTTCCTCAGAGAATGCATTGATACTTATTTTCTAGGAGTCACCGCCCTTTTTGAAATCCTTCAATGATTCGATATACAATAACATGAGGATTCCATATTAAATACCTTCATCTCCTGAGCCATGCTTCTATGTTGTTTTTGGTATGCAAGAATCTATACACACTCTTATACAGTCCATATGCACTAACATACATATCACAAATTAGGTGGAAACAATACAGGTGATGGAACAGCAACATTGTTCCATAAGTGTCTTCTTATCTTATCAGGCACAGAACTATCAGCAAACCAGTAACTTCAACGGCTTCTTCAGGCAAATGCAGCTTTAATTCATTAGGAGTTCCTGCAATGTCAACAGCTAGAAAGAATGCCACTTCAGGCAAACCATATGTTTTTAAATTGAAGTTTTTGTTACTGCCATATCATGCTGCCAATCCGCTGATCATGATTTTCCATCAAACACAGTGGGCTGAATGGGAAAACAAACATTATTGGTAACACCTTGACATTCACTTTTAGAAGACTTGATCACACCTAATTCCCAAACTGTCATTATAGTTTAAAGATTCAATTAAAATCCATTCTCTTCTGCAAAATCGACCAAATCTTCAAATAAGAGTGTGTAAATCAATCCACTTTTTTTCAGTCACTCATACCTAAACAAGTGGATAAGTTCTAGAATTTTTTTAATCCAATGGAGGCATGAATTGTATATAGTTGATTAAAGAAACAGCGGGGACAGTTTTGAAAGTGCCATCCATTAGTCAAAGTGAAGCATGTGCTAGTTTTTCTGTGATAGAATTAGTGGTAAATGTAAGAAGTATATCTTCTTTGACAGTCAAATCCATGCTTAACCAAGAATAGTTCACCAGTCAATGTGTTTTGTAATACAAGGGGGACCACAATATTAGCAAGTGCCTTTGGTTCAGAAGATCACCGAGCTTGTCGAATTCTTTTTCTTCTCTGATGAAGTGTGTTTTTTGAAGGCAAGCATGGCACTATGTGTGAAGGCAAAAACATTATACATGACTGTATAATTTTGAAGGTGAGATTTCTTGTATTGTTTTCTGTTTTTAATTCTTCCATGATTTACAAACACTCCCCATACTTAACATTTGGAGAGTGGTTGTGGTCTACACATTTTTTAAGTATATGCTATCCATTTGAAAGTCTAGTTATTGTTTGACTATGGCAATTAAGTGATTTTTCTGCTTTCTCAGCACCAATAATAATTAGCTTTTAAACTTTTATCTTTTACCATTAAGTAGCCTCATACACTTATCACAGCTATTTTTTTTTTTTTTTTAATGAGGGAACAATTTCACAGATCCTTTCACTGTATTTTAAGAAACACAGTAAAAAAGAATGACACTTGGCTTTCCCAGTGCAAAATTGTTATTAGTCAGGATTCTCCAGAGGGAGAGAACCAATAGGATATATATATATATATATACACACATACACACACACACACACATCCTCATATACATATATATATATATGTATACGAGGATTTATTATGAGAATTGGCTCACACAATTATGGTGGCCAAGTAGTCCCAGGACAGGCAATCTGCAAGCTGCAGGCCCTGGGATGCTGGTAGTGTGGTTCAGAATGAAAGCTCCAGGACCTGAAGGATGACTGATGTAAGACCTGGAGTCCAAAGGATGGAAAGCCTGGGTTCTGGTATACAAGGCCACAGAAGAATTTTGTCCCGGATTTCAGAGACCAATTCACCTGTATTTGTTCTCTCTTTGTCCCCAGTTGATTAGATGGGGCTCACCAACATAGAAGGCAGATCTTCCCTACCAAATCCACTCAGACTCACACTATTTGCTTTTGGAAGCACCCTCACAGGCATACCCAAAACAATACTTTACCAAGTTGCTATTCTTTAATTCAGCCAGGTTGATACATAAAATTAAGTTCACAAGTTCACCCTTTGTCAATATGGCATCAATACACATCTTAAACCACACTTAATTTCCAAATAAATAAAGTAAGAGGTGACACTTACACCTAACACTATGCAATTATTCTGTGATTGTGATTTTTCAGGATTTTAGCATTTAGGGACTTTTTATTTTAGGGATTTAGACTTTAGAGATTTTGATCTTTAGTAATTTTGATCTTTCATGATGTCAGCATTGGGGATTATGGCATTTGGGATTGTGTTTTCTGGGATTATAATCCAAACTCTTCACATATGCATATCTGTGCATGTGTACATATATGGAGGTGTCTGTGACAGTGTGTGTGAGTGTGTTGCCATCCAATATTGGGTGATTTTAATTTCTCTACATTTCCTTATTTCACCACCTATTTTTCAAGTCTCTACATTGCATCATACAATGTACTGCTCAAGAAAATAAAATGGTGATAAATAAGATAGTCCTTATCATAATAAAATGTAATCTCAGGGGAGAGATATGAATTTATATGTAAAATAACTGGCAAGTGCTCTGAAGGAATTATTCATAATCTTATGTGCATCTGCAAGAGGACACTTGGCCTCATCTGAGGGCCTAGCAAAGCCTCACAAAGAAAGTGGCATTTGTGTTAAAATCTGAAGAATAAGCAGCACTTAACTATGCAAAAATGTGGAAAGTTTTTTTAACACAGAGAGATATCAAGTGAAAGTACCCAGGGGTATAAAGGACATGGCACTTTTGAAAGCCAGTTTGATTAAAATGCAAGTACAATAAAGAATGGATCTGGAGTGTAGCTATTGGGGCAGGAAGGGACCAAACTATTCACTACAGTAGGGCTTTACATATGAGCTCCACAAAACCTGTCCTCCTCTCGCATCATATTCCCACCCTCATTCAGTCCAAACCAGGGACAAACATTCTTCTGAATTTAATGTGTCCTGTTTTGCTTGTAGGTCTTCATATAACATATGTATCTATTTTGAATATGTGTAAATGCTATCATGATATACATTTCTTTCTGTTTTCATCTTTTGTTTCTCACTCAACACTGTTTTAAAAACTCAACATTGTTATGTGTGTACTTCATCCAGTACTTCTAGCAACTGTGTTGTACTCAGCATTTCATGAAGTGCATTTCAAATATTTTATACAACTGTTTCCTTAAAGACAAATACTTCAAATTCTTCTTCGTTACCATAATTATGTTCCATTAAATATTCTCATATATGTACTTTCATGGCTATATGTGTGATATGTCTTTAACATACATATGGATGAAATACATTTCTGGATAGCAGTGTGATGAGTTGCAAAATGGTCACAAATTCTTTCAATTAACTTTTTCCATACTTGGAAAATAAATGGTCTCATTTTCTAACTCTTGTATCTGAACTAGCCTTGTGATTTGCTTTGGCCAAAGAGACAATAG